CAATACCCAGGGGCAAGAGAAAGGAAGAGAAACAAAAAGCCTAGCAGCCCTCCTTACAACTAGTAATGTGCTAGAACTACAGAGCAAGGATTGCTGGGCTAAAGAGATTTCTTAGTGTCCGATGTCTCCATTTAAATCTGCCCTCTAAAACAGAAGAGCAACCAACAGGATCAGCTAGCTACATCACCACCTATCACTTAGCCCACCCAGCCAACTATCTCCCTCATCCAAATCCCTCCCCACAGCCCACTCCTTACTTGATCTTCCTGAATTCATCACAATCACATAGGATCAAATTCATATGCTTGTCGAAAGCCTTGAAGGTGCCAATGAAGATACGACCATCTTGCAGGATGCACCTCATCCTGTAGTCGATGTGCTGCAGCATCTTGCTGCTCTTGCCCACAGTCTGCAAGGAGAAAATCAGCAGGGATGAGACTCAACTCTTTTGGAACCACATATCACTTTCTCTTTATTTATTGATTTTAGAGAAAGAGGAGGAGGGAGGGAAGAAGAGAAACATCGATTTGTTGTTCCACCTATTTATGCATTCACTGGTTGCTTCTTGTGTGTGCCCTGACCAGAGATTGAACCCGAAACCTCAGCATATCAGGACACTGTAACCAACTGAGCTACCCAGCCAGAGAGGAACCACATATCCCTTAGTCCTTCTTAAAAACTTCCACTGCGACCTTCTTTTCTATGTGTCCAACTTTCTCAGTATAGCCACAGTCCTTCCCCAGGAATTCTCCCATGTTATCCTGTGTTCAGCCCTGACCTCTGCCCACTACTGTTTTTCCCCTTTTCCTCAAATCATCTCACATTACAACTCCTTTGTTTAGGTTGGGTAGGATGTCTCCAAATTAATCCAATCCATCCATACATGAGATTAGCCACCTGACTCCAGTGCTGTAGAACACCCACATTCCATTAAAAACACTGAGAAAAGAAGAGCTGTATGCCCTGCTGGGCATGGTTCAGCGGTTGAGCATAGGCATCGGATCCTGGAGATCATGGTTCGATTCCTGGTCAGGGAACATGCCAGGTTGCGGGCTCGATCCCCAGTCGGGGGAGTGCAGGAGGTAGTCGATCAATGACTCTCTCATCATTGATGTTTCTATCTCTCTCTCTCCCTCTTCCTTCCTCTCTCTTATATCAATAAAGATATATTTTTAAAAAAGAAAAGAAAAAAAGAGCTGGAATAGGACTGGCACTAAAAATCCAATCAACCAGAAGCTTATCAGAAAGGAGCTGATCAGCTTGGAGGTGAGAGTGGAATGTCCCGATTTGTTAGTGTGCCTTCAAGACTACTTTTGGGAGGGCAACTTTCTGGAAGCCAGGGTACTGATCAGTTTGAACACATAACGGTCTTTAAGAATATATAACTTGCTATACTTCTTAATTAACCCACCAAACTTTTCTACTTTCTAGCTTGGCTTGCAATGTGTCTTTGCTAAAATAGGCTAGAGACATCACAATGTGAATTGTCGGGTGCCCTTGGCAGTTATATTTCTCTAAAAATAAATGAACTGACAGTGGATCTGTGTATCCCCCTCCCATCATTCCAACTGGCCAGTCCTAACTCATCAAGTGCCTTCTATGTGCCAGGCCTGTTTATGCTGTTCATCTCTGTGAGCTGGGACAAGGACAGGCTTCTGAACCTAAAATGTGTTCATCAGAACCTTGAATTCCACCCTGGAGGCCCTGGTTATGTGGTTCAGTCTCCCTTAAATAACCCTTTTAACTGCCTTGTAATCACACAGCTTTTAGCCCCACAGACCTCAATCTTTATAGAAACGTTTTTTTGGTCCACCCAGCAATAGTCATCCCTTACTTCGTGTTCACTGTATACCAGGCACTGTAATAAGCACTATATATATCATTTAATTCTCAAAATCAGCTCGATTATTTTTGCTATTTTACAGATGAGGCCACTGAAGCTGTGAGAGGAAAAGGAGTTTGCCCTCTCAAAGCCAGGAAGCTGTATTAGAACCTCATCAGCCTGAACCCCGGTACACTTCATGTCATTTTGCTGGTTAAAATCCTTCAATGGCCTGCCTCATCACCAGCAAGATCAAGTGGCACCTAAGGCCTTTAGTAACCAGGCTACTGCTAATTCCTCCCATCTCATCCCATCTCATCTCCCACCTCTTCCTCTTTCCCTCTCCAGGAACTTTCTATGCTCTGCACTTATATCCGCGGATCTATACTATCCCCTCTCCCATTTTCGCTGGAACGATCTATACTCGGCTCAGGAATCACCATCTACTCCTGAAAGCATTCTTACCCCGCCTCCCTCTGCGCCGTTACTTTTACTTAATACTGAATTCTATCACCCGTGTCCCCGACTAGAAAGTGAACTCGGTGGAGAAAGGTAACCTTTCACTGTGCAGCCCCCGCGCATTAAGAGGCAGACGTACTCAAACATGCATATATGCCAAAAAATGAGTTCAACTCTTCCTCCGAACACTCTTCTTCGCCCTCCGTCCCCTCCTCCCCATCTCCTAGACCCAAGCACAGTCCAGTTTCGGCCATAAGCCCTCCCACCTCTTGCCCCAAATCTTTCTCACAAGCCTCACCGGGTCTCCCTAGTCCTCCTGCGGCTCTAGCGCCTGCTCTCGAAACCCAAACACACATTTCTTCCGCAAAAGTTTACTCAGTGCCTGCGAGACCCCAAGTACTGTGGTAGGGCGGCACGGAGATCCGCGGCTCCCGCCTGGCGCCCACCGAGCAGCCCAGCCTCGGTCCCGCTGGCCCCGCTCTCCCCTCCCCCAACCCGCAGACCGCCCAAGGTCCCGGCGTTTCGCGCCCGGACAGAGGGGCCGCGGCCCGGGCCTTCATCGCCATGAGCGGCCAACCACCGCCTCCTCCCCAATCGGTCGCGCCCCCCCACCCACAACGGACTCGGAAGCGCCCGCGCCGCCGGCCTGCGCCGCCTCACCATGTTGGCGGTTCTGATGGCTCCGATTCCCGCCGGATTCGCCTGCGCGGAGGCCTAACCGCCCTCCAGTAGCCGCTTCCCGCCGCCACAACCGGAAACGCAGACGCGGGCAAAATGGAGTCGTGTAGAAAACTACTTCCGGTCCCAGAGCCCCCGCGTTTGAGTTTTGTCCGGGACCGGAAGCTGTGCGCCCGCAGTGGGCGGGGCCTCGGGCGCAACCACGCCCAGGCTGTCCTCGCGGAGCTGCCCTTGCTCACCGCCTTCCGGGCCCGCCGACTCCGGGCGCCCAGCTCCCAGCAGCTCTACCCAGGCCCTCCCCGGTACAGCCGCCGTCCCGGCTTCTACACGACCTTGCCCGACGCGCCCTGCCCCGGCGCCTGCACATTTGCTGTCGCCTCTGCCTGGGACGCTGGTTGTCCGGGTCTGAGCATGGCTCGCGCCCTCACCTCCAGAGGACGTCCGCGGCCGTCCCGTTTAAAGCCGCAGCCTTCCCGCGCTCTTTCACAGGAGCAGCGAACATGCTGCGTGTCTCCGTTACTTTGTCATCCCCATTAGAACGTAAGTTCCCGCAGTGTGGATGGTTGTGCTGTCCATTGCTGTAGCGCCCGGACACCGCTAAGCACGAAACGAGGCTGAATAAATACTCGAATGACCCAATCCCGTGACTTTTTGAACGCTCCACACGCGCAGGCTTTTCCTATTCCTTTAACCCTGGGCTCCTTGTTTAACTCTTGACTTTAACAGCCAGCCGCCTGCCTGACGTGAATGTCTAATAGGCCCAGTACTAAATTTAACGATGAAAACGAAATTCTTGATTCTAGTGACGCTTCTTCCCAAAACCACTTCTTACCAGCGTTCCCCATCTCAGAAGTTTCTGGGGTTAAAAACCAAAACGACAAACTTGGTACCAACCTTGGTCCCTCTCTCTTCCATCTCAATCAGCAAATCCTATGGACCTCACCCTCAAAATGTCTCAAATCTGACTGCTGTCGCCTGCCCCACGACTACCACGCTGCTCCTAGCCACCGTCCCCTGTCCTGGATCACCGAGCGGGCCCCTAACTCGTCTCTCTGCTTCCTCTCGGGCTCCCACAGAAGCAGAGGGGTCATTCTATGGTGCAGTGGACTGTATCAGATGGTGTCATAGCCCTGCTCTCCACTTCCCAGTAGCTTCCCAGCAGCTTCCCAGCACATGTGGAATAAAATCCAGCCCTGCACCCCTCTCCAACCTCACCTCCAACATCCTCTAGCCATACTAGTCTCCTTGTTGTTCCTCAAGGAAAGCTGCCATCTTGGGGCTTTGTAATTTTTTTCCCATGCCACCCTAAAATGTATGTTCTGTTGTCCCATTTTTGTCAACCTGTGGATGAAGAGATGGAGGCTCAGAGATAAATAATCTTGCTCAAGGTGGCAAGAACAGGAGCATAGTACCATCTGGTTCCTCAGCTGCTCCCAAGTTACCCTGCATCCTAACATCACTCATGCATGCATTTTAAAATTATTTATTTAGTACCTACTAAGGCCATGCGCTGCTTCTGAGATATGAAGTCCCTGAAGGAATTTATGTTCTAGTGAGAAAGACAGTAAACCAAATGAATAGGTATAGAAAGTAAAGTAAGGTAGGGGGATTGAGAGTGATGAGTTGTAAATTTGGCTAGATAGTCAGGGAATGCTCTCTGAGGAGTGCATGTGAACAAAGACCTGATTGAAGGGCATTCTGGATACTTCTTACAAAGAAATTAATATGTGGTCTTTGGTAACAGCCTTCTTTTACTTAGCATGTTTTCAAAGTTCATCCATGTTGTGGCACATACCAGTACTTCATTTCTTTTTTATGGCTGAATAATATTTCATTGCATGGACATACCACTTTTATCCATTCATCAGTTGATAGACATTTGGTTGTTCCCACCCTTTGGGTATTATGAATAATGCTGCATTAAACATTTGTGTGCAAGTTTTCATGTTGACATATGCTCTCATTTCTCTTGTGTATATACCTAGGAGTGCATTTGCTGGGTCATACGGTAATTCTTTAATTGTTTGAGGAACTGCGAGACTTTTTTTTTTTAGGTTTTCAAAGGTTTTATTAAAAACAAAATAGAACAATAATCCTAAAAACAACAGAGGTGGAATTCTTCCCACCTCCCAATCTATTATCATTCCCCTTCAACAAGGCACCACCTGGTTGGTCCTGAGCCCAAACCCTACCTCTCAGTTCTCCTCTACCCCACAAACTGATGACTAAACATCCATACTTTCTTCCAGCTTCCATCTGTTTCCTTTAAGAAAATAAAATGCCTCTCCCCAATTTGCTTAAAAATAATTTTCAAAGACTAAAAATGGCATTTGTGGGTTTTTTAAAAAAATAAACACTTTAAATGTTGGAAATCTCACTCTTCCTCTAGGCTACGGGAGGGGAACCATTTTTCTGCCAAGGGCCATTTGGGTATTTATAACATCACTCACGTGCCATACAAAATTATCAGCCTACTATATTTGGTCAAACATTTAATTAACTCACCCCTAATGTGATGGCTGGAACAATGCTTCTCTTGGGTGAGGCTTGGCAGGGCCAGACCAAATGATTTCACAGGCCACATATGGCCCACGGGCCAGACATTTCCCACTGTCTAGGCCTAGTTGAGTCTCCAGGTGCTTGCCCGTTCACTGCAGGAGGCCAGCTGCACTTGGTGCCACTTGGTGCCCCTTGGAAATTTTCAGGAAGTAATTTCTTCCAAATTTCCCCTGCAATCACAAATTCCATACACTGCTTGAATAAACACGCTGCCTTCATTACAGACACTGCCCTTTGGCTCTGGAAACCTGATTTCTTTTTGTCAACTAGACCACATGCTTCAGATTCCCTTTGATGTAGTTGAGGATTTGCTGGACTCGGTGGGGCTCATTGCGGTCTGGCCGGCAGCTTGGTGTGATTTCCAGCACATAATCAGGACCATATTCTGTGAAAAACTCATGATCTGGGATCTCAGAGGATAGAGTTTTCCCTAGGATGACCCCAGTCAAGTATGTCCAGCATCGAGCTGTGTTGGCAAGGTTATAGCCTCCTCCCCCCAAAATGAGCGTTGCCAATTGCCACTGAAGGATGTACTTAAGACATCTGCCAATTCCCACTGGAGTCATGTTAAAGGAGCACATGGGATCCCCAGCTATTGTATCAGCTCCCAGCTGTAAGACCACTGCTTTGGGATTAAAGGCCATGTATACCTCCTTCAGTACACTTTCACAGATGTGGTAATACCTCTCATCCTGTATGCCATCTTGAATGGGCACATTCACACTGTAGTACCGTCCCTTCCCTAGGCCAACATCAGACACATCACCTGTTCCTGGGAAAAATCCCGGGGAGAATTTGTGCAGGGACACCGTCATGACTTTGGAGGTGAAACTGAAGGCATCTTCTACACCATCTCCATGGTGCAGATCCAAATCCACATAGAGAATACGGTCAAATTTCCGTCGCAATCGCAATATTCCCAGGACAACATCATTGAGATAACAAAAACCAGATGCTTCATCTTTCTTTGCATGATGCCACCCTCCGGACCAGTTAATCGCTACTTTGCACATTCCATCAACCAGGCACTGGGCAGCTGTGATTGTGGCCCCTCCCACAGCTGCTGCGTAATCAAATATCCCTTCAGTAGCTGGACAGTCATAACCTAGGCCGTATTCTATGGAGTCTGGATGATCATCATCTCCTTCTTGGCTGACCTTCTGGAGATGCTGCAGATAGGCATCGGTGTGGAAGGTGGCCATTTCCTCCATGGAGGCCACTTTGGGCTTAACTATTCTCATTTGCTCATGCAGTCCATATGCTTCAATCAAAGAATGTACCATACTGGCCCGTTTGGGGACTTTGGCCAGGGAATCACACATGCTGACATATTCGGGACTGTAGATGTAAACAGGGGGCAGCAACTGCCCACTGTCTGCAGGTTCCTCTGGGCCCTCCATCTTCCACTTCCAGCCCTTCTGAAGCCACTGCCTAGATCGGGCCGTTTTCAGACTCAGCCCAGGCTCCGGTTCCTGCTCCTCTGATCTGCCACAGTGGTGCTCCCTGGTCAACATCCCCTCCTACTCTCAAGATCGCCAGAGTCACTGTCCTCATTCCCCATCCAACTGAAGGAACACATGGGTCTTCCCAGGCCAGAACCCCTTCATTTAGTTCAAAAACAGGAGGTTGGCAGATACAAAAGCCCTGCCACACTGTTTTCCAAAGTGGCTGTGCCGTTTTCCAATGCTAGCAGTAGCCTATGAGGGTTCTGATTTCTCCACTTCTTCACCAACACTTGTTATTATGTGACTTGGATTGACCATCCTACAGTGTGTGAACTGGTATTGATCTCACTATGGTTTTGATTTGCATTTCCCTGATAACTAATGACACTGAGCATCTTTTTATGTACTTACTGCCCATCTGTATACCATCCTTGGGTCATTTGTCTTTTCTTATTGAGTTGTATGAGTTCTTTATGTATTCCAGACACAAGTCCCATATCAGATATATGACTTACATTTTCTCTCATTCTAAGGGTTGTCGTTTTACTTTTTTGATAGTGTCTTGCACAGTAGTTTTTAATTTTGATGACATCCAATTTATCTTTTTTTTCTTCTTTGCTCACACTCTTGGTGACATAGATAAGAATCCTTTGCCAAATCCAAGATCATAAAGATATGGTCCTATGTTTTCTTCTTCCAAGAGTTTTACAGTTTTAGTTTCTTACATTTAAATCTTTGATACATTTTAGTTAATTTTATCTATAAGGATTAAACTTTATTCTTTTGCAGGTAAATACCCAGTTGCCCCAGCACCATTGGTTGAAAAAATGCTTTCCCCTTTGAATGGTCTTGGCACCCTTGTGGAAAATCAGTTGACCATAGACACTTGGTTTTATTTCTGACTTCTCAATTCTACTCCATTGACCTGTATATCTATACTCATGTAAGTGCCATTGCTTTGTAGTAAGTCTTGAAATCAGAAAATTTGAGTCTTCTTAATTTGTTTTTCTCTTACAAGATTGTTTAGGCATTCCAGATCCCTTGCAATTTCATATAAATTTTAGAATCAGCTTGTCATTCTACAAATAAGAAAAGAAGAGGTCATGAATTCCAGAGCATGGGATTAAGTAGGCTATTCATTTGGCCTTTGGTAAAGTGTTCCCAAGGTTTAGTCTAGGTCAGTGATTTTCAACCTTTTCATCTTATGGCACACATAAACTAATTACTAAAATTCTGCAGCACACCAAAAAATGCATTATATTTTTTGCCAATCTGACAAAAAATAGGTATAATTTTGATTCCTGCACACTGGATGGCTACTGTTGTGTTGGCTGTTATTTTATTTGACAATCTAGGGGAAAAGAGGCCAGTGCCCTTGACTAAACAGCCAGGTATTGCATGTTTTAAAAATTCTTGCAGCCCACTGGTTGAAAATTGCTGGTCTAGATCAAAGATCAGCAAACTTTTTCTGTTAAGGGTCAGATGGCATTTTAGGGTTTATGGGCCATATGATGTCTGATGCAATTAATCATCGTAGCATGAAAGCAGCTATAGACAATATATAACAAATGTGTGGCTGTTACAATAAAACTTTATTTATGGGCATGGATGTGTGTTACAAAATATTATTCTTCTTTTGATTATTTCCAACCATTTAAAATGTAAAAACCACTCTTAGCTCCCAAGCCTTACAAAACAACAGGTGACAGGCAAGATCCGGCCTTCAGGCTATAATTTGCTATCCCCAGGTCCAGACCATTAGATTTTGTGTTTGGGTTCAGGGCCACAGCCACAGCTAGCATTAGAATAACTTTGACTAGCATTGTTTCTTTGGCTTACGGTTCACAGAATAAATGCCGTCAAAAGTTCATGTCTTTGCCTTCATATAAAAACTATACACGATTCACATCTGTGTCAATGTGGGTCCACTGAAGAGACAAAAGCCACACAGTAACTTAAATGCAAAATTTAAAATAAAGAATTATTATACAATGATAGGAGAGTAACTATAAATACTGAAAGAAAGCTCTCAGCTGAGGGAGAGATCCTAAGGAAGGATAAACATGAAAGGAGGGTTCCCTCCCCACGGCTGGGGATCAGCCCTCACTGGAGGCATAGTTGCAGCCCACTTGATAGTGGAGAAGTTGAGGATGGGGTGGGGGGTTATACAGGCCAGGGCTGGCTAGTAGGAATAACCCTCTGGAATGCAGGCCAGTCAAAGGTGGTAGGCAGGTATACAGAGGGAGTTGGAATGTGGACAGAAAACCAAGACCTTGATGTTGATATAAAACCTGGACCACATGGTATCTGCATCTTAAGGGCTGCAAACAAACCTATGAGGCACAAGAGAGCTGAGGCTGATGGGCAGGTGACCAGACACTCAGAGCACTGCTATAGGTGCTGTCAGAAATGGAGATTGAAAAGCTGCCTAGTGTACTGCTATGCACAGCTTGGGCTAGGGCAGCTAAGGGTAGCTGCTGGGACCCTGGTGTGCATGCACGTGGAGCTGAAGAGAGTGTCTGGGGAACAGCAACCAGGCTGAAGGGTCTGGGCGTCTGCACAAGATGAAAGTCAGGTGCTCTGCTTGCCAGAAAGCCAGTCCAGTGGGGCCCCACATTGTATGCCCATGGAGATGAAGAGAGGGTGCAGGAGCAGTGACCTGTGCTGTTTGGGCTCCTGCCTGAACAACCACTGCCTGAGTGGAGAGCTGAAGAAAACACAGGATAGCCAATCAGTGGAGGAAGCTGTGTCCTGCAGGCATTTAGTATGGAAAAACTGCACTGGTCGAGGAGTGGGGGAAAAAGGGCACGCTCTAGGAACCCAGTGAGAAGACCCACCTGAACCAGGAAAGAAGTCCCTTTCCTCCTGCTATGTTGCTCCAGAGCCCACTACTGATAAAGGTCATGCCAGCTGGCAAAGGAAAAGTATTTAAAGGATCCAGATCCATTTTCACAGATCAGGCAACAAGAGGTGAATTTGGAGCGGAGACAATAAATAAATAAGTGGCACCATTCCACATACACACAAGCATATTCTACCACATAGGTCACCACAATGCAGGAATTGGATGGGGAAAGATAGGCAGTTCAGCCCACCCTCTAGATCTGGAACTATTCTTATAATAAGCACAGATAAGATGATGTTGGCTTTCTGGGAGTGATGAGAACTTCTTACCTTTTGCAAATGTTTCTACTGTTGGAAAGCTGTATTTGTGGGAATCCTTTTAAATTCTCCATCTTCTACATCCAGCCAATTACTTTGAAAACAAGCCCTACAGCGTCTGTCCTCTCTTTCAGTCCACTTTACCACTGCCACAGCTATCCTGCAAATTTTGTCTGGACAACGGCAAAACTTCTGACTTCCCAAATTTATCCCAGTCTCAATGCTGTCCTTCAAGCCTTCTCTTTCTCCTAATTTTTCTGTTTCCCTGCATCATCTCTTCCAGATTTTCAACCCCCAGATAATTCCTGTACTAACATGTTCAGCAGAAAATCTGAAGTGTTTTCACAATTTTATTAATCAGACACACCTCCAATATTGCAAAATTTATTTACACTAAGATTTTTACAGCTTAGTGACCACCAGAGTGAGTCCACTGATGTCTAATGAGGACTGAATTATTTCTAAAGCTCCGCCCACACTTCCTGCACAAATAAGGCTTCCCTTTCGAATGTGTTTCTGTGTGTCTGTTCAGGTTGGACTTCTGGCTAAAGCCTCACCCACACTCCTTGCACACATACGGCTTCTCTCCGGAGTGTGTCCTCTAGTGATGAACAAGGATTATCATCAGGCTAAAGCCTCAGCCACACTCACCACACACATAAAGCTTCTCCATTGTGTGCGTCCAATGGTGTCTGATAAGGTTTCTTTAAAGCCTCCCCCATACTCCCTGCAAACATAGGGCTTCTCCTCTGAGAGGGTCCCCTGGCTTGTAATCAAGTTTGACTTCAGGCTACAATCTAGTTCATGCTCATTACAGCTGACTGCTCCAGATCTCAGGGTTTCTAATTCCTTCACTCCTTTGTCTGCTTGCACAGGGCTTACCCTGTGCACTGAGCTGGGCTCTATTTCTACCACTGGGCTGCCTTCTCTAGGACTTGCTGACTGTCCTTGGGGTGGGCTGGGGAATGAGCCTGAGGTTTCTCTCTCCTCTGTCCTCACAAACAAGGATCTGAAGCCACCTTCTCTCTCTTGACCTTCTCCTTAGGGGCTCTGAGAAGAAAACTTCTGCTCCTGATGCCCTGGCCCAGAAACCCCTGTATGGAAGTCATGGAAGTCTGAGAAGATTGGAAGCATATGTGGCTGAGGAGTGGCTGATGGGAGAAGGCCAGAAGGCAAAAGGAACAGGAGTCTATTTCTGGCTTTGATTCTGCTGGAGAAAGTGTTCAGTCAGAGAAGCCCTAAGTGGGCTGCTGGGCTGTTCCACCTCATTGTAGGACAAAGAGTGTCTTCCTACGACACCAGTTATTAATAATATACGTACAACATAATCTGTTTCCCAAAAAAGACTGATACACATCAAAAATCACTTGATTACGAGGCCTTCCGAACATAGGAATATGTATATGAAACAGGGGTTAAAGAGATTGCTGCATATGAAATAAATCTGTATTTCAGGTTGCCCACCCACAAACACTTAGTAGAAATTTCTAAGTGCTGGGTTCCCTACTAAATATTGTGGATTCTGCACTGGACAAGACATGATCCATAACTTCAAGATTCTGGCACCTTGTGCCCAAACCAATTTCATCACAATGACATCAGACTTGGCTATGGGATTTGCTTTGGCCAGTGGAGGTTCGTGAAAAGTTAGTGCTACTTTCAAACACATTTTAAGAGCCACAATGTGGTTCCATCATTGCTTTCCCCTCCACTTCTTTAAGAATCCCATGACACAGACAGAGGCTGGTTCTTTTGCCTGGACTCCAGAACCCCAGTAGAGCTGAACCCCACCTGACCTGTAGACAAGAGGTAATGTAAGTAAGAAATGAACGTTTGCCAAAGTTTGGGGTTGTTATTGCAGCATTACCTAGCCTATGATAACTGAAACATCTCTCCTCTGAAAGTTTTAAATATTACTTCAGGAGAAATTGGCCTATTTATTTCTAACAGTACCCTTGAAGAAGAGACATTGAAACATGGATAGGTGAAGAATTAGAAAAAAGAGATGGGTTGAGGAGAGAAAATAGTATGATCTCAATTTTTTATAAGTTTGAGAATAAACTTGTGCTGTCTTATAACCAAACAGAAAAGCACAGGTGAGACAGTGACAGAGAAAATGGGTACATCATAATATGTGATCAGCAAAATCATTCAAGTTCACAAATTGTTTAAGGGTTTGAATATAAACAAAACAAAACAAAACAAAAAAGAGCATATGACACTAGTCCAAAGAAAAGAGAGAGAAAAAACCAAAAAGAGAGACATAAGAGGCTAGAGAACTGCAGAATATTGTGGTGTCGAGCAAGGCAAAGGAAATGATTTCAGGAAATCCAGGCTTTCCATATCAAGAGTAATTTGAACCAGGTCATTTAAACATTTTTCTCTAAACTCATTCAACGTATTAACACAGAGAAAGAGGATAATATGACCGGAGGAAAATAAAAATAAAATCTAGTTAGGTTGACTGGCTAAGGCCAAATCAAAACACAGAACCAGACTTAAATGGATGGATCCAACTTAATTAGATGGAGCACAAACTAGATGGAATCAGATCAAAACATAGCAAAGAACATGAAAATGGAACAAAGAAAATCTGATTAACTGATAACATGGAAACAGCCATGCCATTTGAAGGAAACTCCTAAAGAAACTCTTGCCTGAAACTAGTTTGTTTCCAAAAATGTGACTCTCTCTACATGCTTTATCTAGAAATATGGAAAAGTCCAGAACTGCATTTCCAGTATGGTAGCCACTAGCCATACACATTTACTGAGCACTTGAAATGTGGCTAGTCTGAACTGAGACGTGTTCTAAGCATAAAATACACACCAGATTTTGAATACTTAGTACAAAAAGAAGTAAAATACCTAATTAATTTTTATATGATCACACATTGAAATAATATTTTGATATATTAGGTTAAATAAGATTATTAACTTCACCCATTTATGTCTACTTTTTTATAGGTGGTTACTAGGAAATTTAAAGTTATCCATGTGGCTCACGTTATATTTCTACTGCACAGAACTGATCTAGAACAAGGGGTGGGAAAAACCACAGTGTAGGAGCTAATCTTGCCCTCTGTTTTTGTATAGGCTGCAACCTAAGAATGGTTTTTAAATTTTTAAAGAGTTGGATACAAGTCAAAAGAATAATAGTTCATGATATATAAAAATTACATGAAATTCCAAATTCGGTGTCCACAAATAAAGTCTTATTGGAACACAGTCATACTCACTCATTTACACAGCATCTGTGGCTACTTTAGCACTATACGGGCAGAGCTGAGAGTGGTTAGAGACCGTATCGCCCACAAAACCTAAAATAGTTACAATCTGGCCCTTTACAGACAAAGTGGCGAACCCCTAAAACAGTATTCATCAACCTAGATTTAAAGAATTAATGTATGTGTTTAATTAAAAGAAAAAATCTGGCTTATAAAACTCAAAAGCCATACAAACTCTGACATTTCATTTTAACTTCTGTCACAGAAGGCATTTCTCACTGCTCTCCCCCTTGCAAACTGCGCTTCCAGTCTCACGGGCCTCCTTGTAATTCTGGATACCCAGCAGGCACATCCCTTCCTTAAGGTCTTGGCACCAACAAGTCTCCACCTGAAATGCTCTTACCCTAGAGAGCCAGAGGTCTACGTCCCTCACCACATTATGTCTTGGGTCAAATGTTACCTCCTCACTGATTTCAAATACCTGATTTCAAAATTCAGCCAGCCATCCTGTCACACTCAATACTCCTTTATCTTGCTTCATTTTAGTACTATTTTTTACTAGGCAGTGCTTATCCCCTCCTAACAGACCATATCACAATATCCCTGTATATGAAGCTGTTTGTTGTCTGTCTCCACACACTAGAAAAAATAAGCCCCCATGGGCAGGGATTACTATTTCACTTACTAATGTATTCTAAGTGTCTAGAACATTTTCTGGCACACAGTAGGTAGTCAATAAATCTCTCCTGAATTAATGAAGGAAAGAACACAGCCTCACCCAATGAGAGCAGAGTCCTGTAATCCTCCAGCATCACATCTTTGAACAGGGCCCTCTGCCCAGAGCTCAGTAGCTTCCATTCTGCGTCTGTAAAAACCATAGCGACATCCCCGAATGTAACTGGTACCTATAAACAAGCAATCAATTCATGAACAGCAAGTCACCATCAATTTTCCCAGTGTGAGGAGTATATCTAATGGCCCTCCTGGAGAGTCTTGCTGTGTAAGAGTTGGTCTAATTCTTTTCAGGGTACACAGTTCTCCATATCAAATTCTTCTGGTCATTACCATGGCTTTGTGTTAAAATCTGAGGGTAGCATATCTGAGGCATAGAACACATTCCTGGCCCTTGGACACTTATGACTTCACTGGAGAAATGATTTGTGAATCAATTTGAAATCTAAAGCAGCGCTCAGGAAAGTGGCCTTGAGGATTCATTACAGAGGAATTTTGAGATGGAAGAGTTCAGGATGGGCTGGAAAACTCCCATTTAAAAGGAACTTTGTGGCCCTAGCCGATTTGGCTCACTGGTTAGAGCACTGGCCCGCAGACCGAAAGGTCCCAGGTTCAATTCTGGCCAAGGGCATGTACCTTGATTGCAGGCTCAATCCCTGGCCCAGCTGGGGTACAGTCAGGAGGTAACCAATCGATGTCCTTCTCACATCGATGTTTCTCTCTCTCTCCCTCTTCCACTCTCTCTGAAAAAGCAATGGAAAAAATTCCCTCAGGTGAGGATTAAAAAATAATAATAATAATCCAGTGAGAGACATGGGAAGGATAGAAATTAAGCATGACTGGCCACTGTGGATGACTGTTGAAGCTGGATGATGATACCTGAGGCCCCATTATTACTACGCTCTCTATTTCTATATATGTTCAAAAATTTCAATAGTAAAAGAAGTAAAAGATGTCCAGTGCAAAAGAAAGTATCATTAGGTAGTGCGATGTGAAGTGAAATTTAATGTACATTTATAATTTCTAATAATCTCAGTTTTTCAAAAACATCTCTTATGTCGCTCTGCCTGGGTGGCTCAGTGGGTTGGCACATTGTTCCATATACCAAAAGGTGGTGGGCTCGATTCCCAGTCAGGGAACATACCTAGGTTGTGGGTTTGGTCCCCAGTCCAGAGCAGTACAAGAGGCAACCGATCGATGTTCCTCTCTCACATCAATGTTTCTCTCTCTCACTCGCCCTTCCTTTCTCTAAAACAATGAAAAACATATCTCGGGTGAGGATTGAAAAAAAAATTTTTTTACATATCTCTTATGTTTTAAAGTTTCCTGGACTCTAACAATTAATCTTGGAAATAAAAGAAAGGAAAATCAAACACACAAGTGCAGGAATCATTATAAAGTGACTAACACAGTGCCTGACACTGGCGAGAATGTTGCCCTCCTTTCCCTTCCCAAGAAAGAGAATACACAGTACACCTATGCTCTGGAAAACGAGCCAGCATTTCAAAAAGAAAAAAAATGTAACCCCAACTCACCAGTATTTTGGGCTGTCCCTCATTTTCTTGGAGCCAGTCAGTATCATTAGAAGGCAAACCTAGGGAAAGAAAAAGAAGCTGTGAGAAAGCAGGCCTCCCACAATGCTCCCAGAGCAGCTCCTCTAAGCCCTGTGATGCAGGAAGTGGGCCCTGGACTCAGCCGTGGTCCCTAGAGCATGCTCAGCTAAACCTGGAGCCTTGCTCCCCCGCTTCAGCTCTCCAGACTCTCAACATCTCTCACCTTTTGCCTTACGATTTTGAGTCAATTTCTTCACAGTCTCCATATCTGCCCTGTTCTCCAAAGGCAAAATCTCTCCCCAGGCAGAAGGAGCAGGCAATGTCATGGCCCCGGAGTCAGACCTGTGTTTGCCTTGAAATCCTACCAGAAATCCAGGTAGAAGTTATTTCATCACAAGATTGATTTCTGCTGCCTGGGGTGACTTCTCCAAAACTTGTAAACGCCCATTGTTTCCACGATGCCAGGACCTGTGGAATGGGGAAGAAATTGGACATTGCCAGGACCTTTAATGTAGGCCCTAAGCCCGTGCCTCCTCAGCAGGGATCCTGTCCTCTCTCCTCCTCATTCAACAAATAAGGAGTCTCAGTTCACAGAGGGTTCCTTGGATTTTTTTACCTCGTTTCTTTCCAGCTCTCAAGTCTGTCCCCTGCCACTCTCCCTTATGTGACAAAACTTACAATTCCCTCCCACCCCCACACCTCAGATCCAAACCCCACGTCCTATATCAATCTCTGATACTTGGAGCCCAAGTCAGAGACAACGCAGCATAATGCCTGTGGAAGTCTCAGAATGTCTCCTTCCAGACCAATTGGGGCACTCGGAACTCAGCTCCTGACTCCCCTGGCCCACGGTCCCAGCCGTGTTGGATCCCCATGTCCCTGTACTCTGAGGAGTGG